TTTAAAATCAATTTAAACCTTGCCACCATCTCAAAAACAATTGAAAACATGCTTTAAAATCGAAGGGCTTTACCATATTTTACTTACCTCACTCGCACCAACAGAACACTAATCCCAAGTGCTAGAGTGCAGAATAATCAGTACCTAATCAAAACATTTCCCAAAATTAATACCCATCTAAAACAACACATTTAATCCTTTCCCAATAGCTGGTACTTAACCCCCATAATACCACATCAAATTCTCCCATTTACTCACGGGCAACACATGGAGAGCATGGCTTGGCAAACCACAACTCACACACACGGGATCTTCTCCCTATAAACCACACAGCAACTAAATCAAGAAATTTCTACCTCAACCAAGCTTAAAACATGTTTTATGCTACCCAAAATCATCCCAAAATTCTAGCACAATCTCGGACAACACAGAGCATCAACTAATGGACAAAACCCAGCAATTAAATGGGAAATTTTAAGCTTGGGAAAGCCGGCAACTTACCAGAATTCCAGCCAGCAGAACCCGAGCTTGGCTGGTGAGGAAGCCGACGGGATCCAGGGGGAAAACTCACGACACACTCCAGAAATTCAAGAACCAATAACAAAATTAGAGTAACCCAAGCCAAATTAAGAGAAAGAGGATGGATTTCATGGCTGCTTCTTACCAGAAAAACCGAAGGATTCAAACCCAGCAGAACCCAACGGACAAGGGAGGAAGAAGCAGAGCAGATCCGGTATTTCTGGGTTGAGAGGGAAGATTCTAAGCCCCAAATCTTGTGATTTAACAAGAAAGGAAGAGAATTCATCAAGATCTCACCGGGTTTTCAAGGGGTAGAGAGTCGGTGGCCTAGGGGGGTTTTCGGGAGGAAGGATCGGGAAGAAGGAGAAGATAAGGAAGAGCAAAACACGTGGCTGAGGAGAGAAATATCAGCCTTGATCCTTATCCTAATTTTCTTTCTTTTAAGTCCCTCAACTTTTTAAAATTTGACTATTAAGCCCCAACATAAAATTTTCCCTCAAGTAAGTTCCCAATTTAATGCTAAAATACCCCAAAATTTTGGGATATTACATCCTAACTCTCTTCTTTTCCTCCACTATTACATATGACACTAATCATCTATCTGTCTCATAGTCTAACACATGGTATATATTATTATTAGTCTAATTTTCGCAGTTCTTTCTCAAGTTCATGCATAAATCACTAAAATAATTGAAAGGTTATCGGACTTCTAATGCATTAAGTTCAATAATATAAACTCATTATGTGAATAACTTTAATTGAAAGTATAAAAATTACAAAATCTATATTAAATTGATTAAGCTATATTATAGCCTTCGTAGACTAAATTAGTTCATGATAAAAATAAGATTAAATGCTAATTTTGGTCCCTCAACTTTATAGAGTTGCACAATTTTCATCCCTCAATTATTTTTTGCACTTTATTGATCCCTCAACTCTAAAAAACTACACAATTTTGATCTTCTATTAGTTAAGTATGACGTGCCCGTTAAATAATTTCATAATGGCATTTTCTTGGCAATGACATGTTTTATAATTAAAGTACATGGACAAATAAACATACCACATTAGATAAATATTTATATTTTTATTAAAAATACAATTATGTTATTACCCCTCTCCCTTTTTTTCCATCTTCTTCACCTCTTTCTTTCTCTTTCTTTGTCTTTCCTATTATTGGGTTCGGTTAAACTGGGTTGGGTGGAACTCAGATCTATTCTAGGTTTGGTAGAACCCAGCTGTTTGGTTCAGTGGATGATATCAAAGAAATCTAAATGAAAAACAATAAGAAAGATCTATAAAAGAAAGAAAAATCCTCGATATATATTCCTTAATAAATCTGGATTACAAAGAGAAATGAGAGATATAAAAGGTTCAAGGAAGAAGAAACCAGAATATCCTTATAGCCACAATGAGAAATCACAACATACATATTTTGATGCTGTATGATTCTTGGCTACAAGATAAAATAGTCTAATGGAAAAATGCAAGAAAATTGAAGGACATAACATAATGAATTCATGGTTGCTATCTGTCCTACACAACTCAGATATCTATTCACAACTCTTGAATTGCCGATTCAACTTATTAGTTTTGTTTTTCTTCATATCAGTCGAACCTAGATTAGATTTGGGTTCCATCAAACCTAGCAATAGGAGGAGGAAGAAAGAGAAAGCAAGAAAGGGAAGAAGAGAAAGAAGGGGAAGAAGGTTTGGTGGGTTGCAGTAGGAAGAGGAAGAAAGAGAAAGCAAGAGGGGGAAGAAGGTTTGGTGGATCCTAGCTTTGCTGGGTTTGGTACCGAACCCAACAATAGGAGGAGGAAGAAAGAGAAAGAAAGAGGGGGAAGAAGATAGGTTAAAAGGGTTTTTTTTTTTAAATATTTTTTTTATTAAAAATATAAAGATTTATCTGATATGGTATTTTATTTATCCATGTAATCTCATTGTAGGACATGTCATTGCCACATCATAAAAAAAATTAAAAGAAAATGCCACTATGGAAATATTTAATAGCCACGTTGTGGTTAACTGATGAGGGATCAAAAAAGTGCAAAAAATAATTGAGGGATGAAAATTGTGCAACTCTCTAAAGTTGAGGAACCAAAATTAGCATTTAACCTAAAAATAATAAAACTTAAAATTATAGTTATGAATGCAAGAATGTCAAACAATAGATGAAAATAATTTAAGGAAAAACAAAACTCAATTTAAAGAAATTGAAATCCTTGATATTGTTGATAAATCCTCTATCTTCATCTCTAAGAGTGCTCAAAAGGGAACTGTCACTAGCCTCCAAAAAAATCCTCAATTTTGGACTTAGATGAATATTTATAAGATTTTAGATAACCTAATTAGAATAGAAGTGGAACCCATACCAAAATAATGATAAGCCAGTCATGGACTTACTTAAATCACATAGGGGATCAACACCCTTAACAACGTACTAACACCTTTAGTCAAGCACGGAATCAAAACTCCATGTCGGGTTTTTGGCCTTCAAAGCAATTTTTGTTAATGGAATAATAGCAGTCCTAGTCCCTTACTTTTGGATTCCATGCAAGCTAATACTCATGTTTCTGATCTCTACAATTTGCTTTTAAAAATTATGATTTCTTTTAATTAAGTCCTTTCCTAAACAAATAATAAAAATTATTTAAAATAATAAAAATTATTTAAAATCATGTAAAATCTTATAAAACTCATCCAAATATTAATAATGTCAAGATAGAAATTCCATATTAATATGTATATAAATTTGACTCATCATTAAGTTAGTGGTTGCTACTTTTAATTCAATTCCTTTGTCTCTTTCTAATTTTGTAGTTAATTCATATTGTATTGAATTGTGACTTTGTTGGATTTTAAATGAATATATGACTTATATTTTATTTGGGTCAATGAATTTGATGAAAACAAGTGAAAGAGTAATTATATTTGAGATAAAATATTACTATTAACAAATTAACAATATTAATTAACTTGTAAGTTTAGTTTCTTTTATTAGAATGAGATTGAGATTGAGTTCGGGCAAATTTTTTTTTTTTAATTTTTAGTTTGTGGACTTCATTTCACAAAAAAAGGTTTAACTTGTAAGAAATATTATAAATTTGCACCCAAAGCTATATGTATATAAGCAAGAAGAAATGAAAATAGAGATGTTAACTTTGTATTTTTTTTATTTAAAAATGTTAACTTTGTTAATTTCTAAATAAATATGTCAACTTTTAAGTTTTTTAATTTGAGGATATTAATCTCTAATTTTTTCTATTTAAGAATATTAATCTTTTTAAATTCACTTTTTTTAAATTGTCTATTTGTTACGTCAACATTACCATCTAATTAATCGTTAAATAAAAAAAATTGATAGTTAATAATTTTAAATAAAAAAGTTAAAAGTTAGCATTCTTAAATAGAATAAGTTGTATGTCACGCCCCAAACCGAGAGCGAAACAGACGCCGTGCACTCGTGAGCGGGGCCCACAAATGCACAAGGCTCGAGACCTATTGAGTTCTTACTTAGCAATTCAGGTAATTCAAATCTAAGCCTTTTTACTTTACCAAATAGTTACCAGTGAATGTACAAAGTTATCACTTTATATATACAATCATGACTAACACTAAACCCTGTACACAAAATTTTCTATGTCAAGCATGGGTGACTAACGGCTTAGCTACAAAAACCTAAGTCCAAAAGTGCCTAGCCGCCTAGCTCGTCACTCTCCCGGGCTTCCCACGCGTCGGGTCTCACTACCTGAAATGGTGGACAAGGAAATCGTGAGATCAAAATATCTCAGTAAGTAAACCTGGGGGCCCGACATCAAGTATAAAGCATGCCAAATAATCGGTTAAAACATGAACAAACGTTTCAATAACAAATCATTAATGCAAGATAAAATCACGTAGTGGTCTCCTCTATTAGTCATGGCCAGTGTTATAAACCTCCCACTGGCAGGCACACGAGTTACTAGTGTATAATCCCCACTAGTAGGGCCACGAGCGAACCGGTTCCATCACGAACATGTCGACATGTGCTAGCGTTTATAAACCTCCCACTAGCGGGCACACGATTAACACGACCATATTGGAGACAAAACCAAGCAAACTTTACAAACAAAACCGAAATTCACAATCGTTCTCACTTTTAAGAATAAATCAAAAAGACCTCATGTGGGCATGCTTAATTCTAGAAAATAAGGAAAATGATAAAAGTTTAATTTCCCTTTTTAATCATGCTCAAATGCAACTAAAATCCATTTAAGCCTCGCCACCATCTCAGAAAACAATTAAAATATGCTTCAAAAATTTACGGGCTTTACCATAATTTACTTACCTTAATTACTCAGGACAGAAGGCCTAATCCAAGTGCTAAGATCACAAGGCAATCAAGGACCTAATCACAATATTCTCGAGTTAATATCTATAAAGAAATTTTATTCCTTTATTTATTTTCATTTATGCTTTTCTATCCGGAAATTAAGCATTAACCGGGATTGGGTATTTATCTATATATCTACAATTATATAATTACCCATATACCATTTTTCTCAAATCTATGGACAAGCAATGGGAGAACCGGCCTTGACAAAAATGGCCAACTCACGGGTTCTCCCCTTTCCTCATGGACACACACACACAACAGCCAAAACTCCCTAATTTCCTACACAATTCATCAACCAAAACCCATTCTCAAGTTGCCGAAATCCTCCCTATTTCAACAAAACTCTCGGACAACTCAAGCCCATTTCATATAGCCTAGCCACTTAAACTCAAATCAGCACTTAACAACCAATTTCAAGAGATTAAAGAAGCCAACTTACCAGAAATGCTCAACAAGCAAAGCTGGAGCTGGCGGGATGAAGAGGTGCCGACGGGAAGAATTGCAGGGGGCTTCCACGGGACCACTAGAAATTGGAAGAACAAGACGATTTGAGTGACCCAGCTTAAATCAAGGTTGAAAAGAGGAGTTTCTGGACTGATTTTTACCAGGAAAAACTGGTATTCACTCCAGCAACACCGGCGGCAGGGGGGCAGAAGGACAGCAGATCCGGAGAAATTTCTGCAAGGGAGAAGATTTCTAAGCCCTAAACTTGTTCTTGAGCAAGAGAGGAACAAAATTATCAAGTTCTCTTACCACTTTTGCAGGTGGAGGCTTCGGTTATGGCTGGTGATGACCGGCTGCAGAGGAGAAGAGAAAACAGAGCAGACACGCGAAAGTGCTGGGGGAAGAAAGAAAGAAAGAAGAAAAAGAAAAAAAAAGAGTGAGTCAGTCGGCCTTATCCAATAAGAATTTAACCCCTTTGAAGTTTGAAAAATTGACAATTAGGTCCATTAATAATGTTTCTTCACCATTAGGTCCTTAACTCAACTTAATATGC